CTAGCCACTACTAAACCAGCCGCCCCAAAAGGTAAACGCCTCTCCCATAAAAATAATAATCATCATACTATTCTTCAACCTCTTCTTTATTTATTTAATTTTGATTTCGTATCATAATGTTTGTGCCCATCATTATTATTTTATCATCAAATTCAATTTCATGATCAACAAACATCATAGCACGCACGCATGCACCTCCCACCTCCAAAGATTGAAATGACCCAATTCCAAAATAAATCGCATAAAACGTTTTTTCTTTCTTAACCATGAATAGATGTGACAAAACAAAACCAGACAAATGAAATAAGTAAAACATTTTTCATTGGTTCATCTTCATCATATGAGTAAGGGATATATAATAGGGCTGACTTTAATAATTAGCATAGGGTTGTACTTAAGCTTTTATTACAAAAGGAATAATAATTGTATTAACAAAAAAAAAAACTTTACATAAAAAACCATACCCACAATCGGAGCAAAAAGATAACATGATAAAATTAAAAAAAAAAAAAAAAAAAAAAAAAGTGAACTTTGGGTGTGACAAGAAGTTTTCTTCTGTTTGGTCTGACTATTCCCTTTGGTCAACGATGGTATTGAGAGCCATTTACAAGCTTCGGACACAGAAACCCAGATTGGATAATCATGTCTTTTGTTTCTTCTTTTCCCTCTCCTTCTTCTTCTTCTTCTTCTTCAAGCTTTCTTAATCTTCTCAGCTTCTTCTTCTTCTTCTCTTGTTCTCGCCATGATTGACGAGAAGATGAGATCTAAATCCATTTGTCCTCTCCTGAGACCAGTAAAACCTTTGAGTCCTCGCATGGTTCTCTTTGTCCTTGTCTACGTTCTTTCCCTTTCTGTCTTCTTTCTTACAGTTTCAGAGGCTGTTTGTAATCTTCAGGATCGAGATTCTCTCCTTTGGTTCTCTGGCAACGTATCATCTCCACTCTCTCCTTTGCATTGGAATTCGTCCACTGATTGTTGCTCCTGGGAAGGTATCTCTTGTGATGATTCTCCCGAAAATCGTGTCACTTCGGTTCTTTTGCCCTCTAGAGGACTCTCTGGCAATCTCCCGTCGTCTGTTTTGAATCTCCGCCGTCTCTCTCGTCTCGACCTTTCTCATAACCGTCTCTCTGGTCCACTCCCGCCAGATTTCCTCTCTGCCCTTGATCAGCTCTTGGTTCTTGATCTTAGTTACAACAGTTTCAAAGGTGAATTGCCACTTCAACAATCATTTGGCAATGGAAGCAACGGAATCTTTCCAATTCAGACCGTTGATCTCTCCAGCAATCTTCTTGAGGGAGAAATCCTCGACGGTTCTGTTTTTCTCGAGGGTGCTTTCAATTTAACCAGTTTCAATGTCAGTAACAACAGCTTCACGGGTCCTAATCCTTCCTTCATGTGCACAACTTCACCGCAGCTCACCAAACTGGATTTCTCCTACAATGATTTCAGTGGTGAACTCTCTCAAGAATTAGGCAGATGCTCGAGACTAAGTGTTCTTCGAGCAGGCTTCAACAATCTCTCTGGGGAAATCCCTAAAGAAATCTACAAACTTCCTGAGCTCGAGCAACTCTTTTTACCAGTCAACCGTCTTTCTGGCAAGATTGATGATGGGATTACTCGTCTCACCAAACTGACATTGCTTGAGCTTTACTTCAATCACCTTGAAGGAGAAATACCAAATGATATAGGTAAGCTTTCCAAACTGAGTAGCCTCCAACTCCATATCAATAACCTCACGGGTTTTATCCCGGTTTCTCTCGCCAATTGCACAAATCTCGTGAAGTTGAATTTACGAGTTAATAAGCTGGGAGGAAATTTATCGGCGATAGACTTCTCCCAGTTTCAGAGCCTCAGCATTCTGGACCTTGGAAACAATAGCTTCACTGGGGAATTCCCCTCCACGGTTTACTCCTGCAAAACGATGACAGCAATGAGGTTTGCAGGCAACAAGTTAACGGGACAGATATCTCCTCAAGTACTGGAATTGGAATCCCTGTCGTTCTTTACTTTTTCAGACAATCAAATGACAAACCTTACAGGTGCTCTCCGCATTCTGCAAGGCTGCAAGAAGCTGTCTACTCTGATCATGGCAAAGAATTTTTACGACGAAACAGTACCAAGCGAAATAGACTTTCTTGATTCAGATGGATTTCCAAGCCTCCAAATCTTCGGTATCGGTGCATGCAGATTGAAAGGTGAAATACCAGCTTGGCTGATCAAGCTCCAGAGGGTAGAAGTTATGGATCTGTCAATGAACCGACTTGTGGGGTCAATTCCCGGTTGGCTAGGAACTCTTCCAGACCTTTTCTACTTGGATCTTTCCGATAACTTGCTAACAGGAGAGCTTCCGAAGGAACTGTTTCAGCTGAGGGCTCTGATGTCCCAAAAGGCATACTATGCAACAGAGCGGAACTATCTAGAGCTGCCGGTTTTTGTCAATCCCAATAATGTCACCACCAATCAGCAATACAATCAGCTATCCAGCCTCCCACCTACGATATACATCAGGAGGAATAACTTGACTGGGAGTATACCAGTGGAGGTCGGACAGCTAAAGGTTCTCCATATCCTGGAGCTTCTAAGTAATAATTTTTCGGGCAGCATCCCCGATGAATTGTCAAACCTCACAAACTTAGAGAGGCTGGACCTGTCCAACAACAATCTCTCCGGTAGAATTCCTTGGTCACTCACGGGACTCCATTTCATGTCCTATTTCAATGTTGCAAACAACACTCTCAGTGGGCCGATACCCACAGGGAGCCAGTTTGATACCTTCCCAAAAGCATATTTTGAAGGAAACCCCTTGCTGTGCGGTGGCGTACTGCTAACCTCCTGCACTCCAACTCAGCCCTCTACTACAAAGATTGTTGGGAAAGGAAAGGTCAACAGAAGGCTTGTTTTGGGGCTTGTCATTGGGCTTTTTTTTGGCGTCAGTTTGATTTTGGTGATGTTAGCTCTGTTGGTGCTTTCCAAGAGGAGGGTAAACCCAGGAGACTCTGAGAATGCTGAACTGGAGATAAATTCCAACGGCTCGTATTCTGAAGTCCCTCAAGGGTCGGAGAAAGACATAAGTCTCGTACTGTTATTTGGAAACAGTAGATATGAAGTAAAAGACCTGACCATATTTGAGCTCTTGAAAGCTACCGACAACTTCAGTCAAGCTAATATAATTGGCTGCGGCGGGTTTGGCCTTGTCTATAAGGCTACCTTGGATAATGGAACGAAACTGGCGGTTAAGAAACTCACAGGAGACTATGGTATGATGGAGAAAGAATTCAAGGCAGAGGTAGAAGTTCTGTCTAGGGCGAAACATGAGAACCTGGTTGCTCTACAAGGTTACTGCGTCCATGATAGTGCCCGAATACTTATCTACTCGTTCATGGAGAATGGCAGTCTGGATTATTGGCTGCATGAAAATCCGGAGGGTCCAGCTCAGCTGGATTGGGCAAAAAGACTCAACATTATGAGAGGAGCAAGTAGTGGACTAGCATACATGCACCAGATATGTGAACCACATATAGTACACCGAGACATCAAATCCAGCAACATCCTTCTGGATGGAAATTTCAAGGCATACGTCGCAGATTTCGGGTTGTCAAGATTGATCCTTCCATATCGCACCCATGTAACAACTGAGCTAGTGGGCACATTGGGTTACATTCCCCCAGAGTATGGACAAGCTTGGGTAGCCACTTTGAGAGGTGATGTGTACAGTTTCGGAGTCGTCATGCTAGAGCTTCTCACAGGAAAAAGACCAATGGAGGTTTTCAGGCCAAAGATGTCAAGAGAATTGGTTGCATGGGTGCATACTATGAAAAGGGACGGGAAGGCAGAGGAAGTGTTTGATACATTGCTGAGAGAAAGTGGTTATGAAGAAGAGATGCTCCGTGTGCTTGACATAGCCTGCATGTGTGTGAACCAAAATCCAATGAAAAGACCAAACATCCAACAAGTTGTAGACTGGCTGAAGAACATAGAAGCGGAGAAAACAAACCCAAATAACAGAGAAGAACTTGAAGAAGAAGAGACGTAACTGTGTGTGTGCCTTCCTACATTCATCATTGTGATCAGATTCATACATATATCTGCATAAGTAAATACACACTTATTTTTTCTTGTCAATTGCATATGTTAACCATCATTTCATGTAAATTATAATTTTGATGGTAATAGAAGCTTTGATGATGTAAAGAACAGGAATTTATGCAGCTTGTGGCTTTCAAATGTGAGACTTTTAAGCTTCCATATGATCAAAACCCAGATTTTTATACAAGGGTATGATGTATGATTAGAACTCATGAATGTATCGTATGATTTGAATTTTCAAAACCAACTTTGGTTTTCATGTAATTTTCTCCGTAGATCTTAAGATACTTACCAAATTTTAAGAAAACAAAAACATGTGATGCTAGAATATGATTATGAAACTCAAGTGGGGTTTGTAAGCGGCATTTAATCGAACACTTGGTGTGCATAGTTACCGAAGAGACATCTAGAGAAACTGGATACATACCTAAACATCAATAGCGGATTCAGAGACAGAGAGGAGAGGTTTTTGCAAACGAAAGCTGCTGATTTATTTGGACGTTATAAAACGTTGTCGTTTTCGTGTTTTTGGGAAAAGATGCTGCAAGCCTGCAACCTACCGCCTTTTGAACAAGTAGTTATTGTTTGATTACCATTTTGAAGCAAAAAATGCATTAAGAGTCACGATTATGCTGAGGGTCTGCAAGCCTAATTCGGATTCTTTTTCTAATCCCCTATAAAATAGAAAATCTCATTCATACGTTACCCAAGTACTTATTTTTATTTTTTAATATGAGGCCATAACTTCTCTTATATTTCAAAACCTTTCTTAGTTTTCCGGTTTTGTTCAGTTTAGCCCAGAAAACCAAACGCCCCTAAATTTATCAAATTTTATTAGTTTTTTTTTTTTTTCTTGAATACCAAGAGGTTCTGGACCAAAACTCGTAATTTAGCCAAGTTCAAAACCACAACATATAATATTAGTTTCGTCCCAATCGTCACTCGAACCGGCGACCTCTAAGCTTCGCGCTTATGATAATGTTTATCAGCTTTTTCTTCACGTCAGAGTCTGATCCTTGCTTATCTAACTTTTTACTATAGTGAGGTTTAAGAAGAGGGGTTTAGAATAGACTCTATGATAATCGATTCAAACTTCGATTTTTAGCACGAGGGACATGCACAATAGTATCCATGTTAACTAAAATATCAAGGATATATAATCAAATAATTCATGGGTAAAAGACAAGTTTTCAATCAGAGAGATAGGGATGTGTGAACCAACCTACTAAACTACGAATGTTCGTTCTTCAACATCCATTCTTCCTTTCCACTTTCACACGTTAAAATGACTCACCACTCAAAACATACTTAGAAATTTCTTCTTCTATTTTTTCTGATTTACCACTTAAAACACACTTAGAAAATCAACATTGAGATTTTGTCTTCACAACTCAACAATCTCCCACAATGGTCAACATATGTTAACTAACATAAAGAGAATGGGGTTTAGACTCTATGGAAATCGATCAAATAATTCATGGAAGAATACAAGATTAAACAAAGTGAATCAACGTATCAAATAATTCACTGAACCATATATATTATAAATATAGTCAACTTGTAACTGTTTGCTCCCGCTCCTTCTCCGGCAATGTCAATCTTAAACCAGCTATTTGGTTCCTGCGGTGTACCACCAACGAGAATGAGAGGCTCCTCGCTAGCCGATGAGGTTTCATTGACTTTCCAAAACTTGGAAAACTTATTGCAGGCCCAGATGTTGGACTTGAACTCGATATTTACATAATCATCTGTAGAAACAGTAGTTTCCATGTTCGCGTATGGCATTGAAAAGCTAACCGGCGGTACGCCAGGTTGATACGGATGGAGAGTTTGGACGATGCCAAGTGGGCAAAGAGGAAATATTGTAGGGGGGGCTGGGACAAGACCACCTCCGTCGGTATTTGCCGGCTGGATGAAGTATTGTTGATCGGTTTTAAGATAATTTCCGACAATGTCCTTCACCGGTTCGCCTCCGTGGATGCAGACAGCTGCAGCCAACAGGAGAGTGATGAGAAAAGAGACCACTGAAGGTTTTTTCATTGTGATTGTTTTGTGTTTTCTTAGGGTTTGAGTGAGTTGAGGTGTGGAGAGCAAACACATTTCGTATCGGTATTTATAGGAGTCCTCTGTGGTTAAAACCGGACATGATAGTAAAAAGAGGACAAACGAATTCCCATCTTCGTTGAGTAAAACCTAATACCTTAAATTTGTCAGCTATAAATGTTTGGCTTTTTCCGCACGTCACATTCTAATCATTCTCGTGATGGGTCCTTGATTTCTAACTTTCTACAACAGTGAGGGTTGAAAAGAGGGGTTAGACTTTAGACTCTATGGTAATCGATTCAAACTTGGATTTGTTAGCACGAGGAACAGGCACAATGTCCATGTTAACTAACATATATATATATATATATATAGCAAAAAAAAAAAAAAGACGATCAAATAATTCAAGGGAAGAAGACAACATTTCAAACAGAGAGATAGGGATGAGTGAATTATACGTATGAATGATTTTCAACATCTCTGTTTCTTTCTGGCCACAATTTTGTTAATTTAAAACAAGTTACTGAAACACGAACCAAAATGATTTCCACAACGATTTTTTTGTTACAAGAAAAGAAATAAGTGACAATAGTTCAATACTAAAGAAACTCCCTAAAATGGAAATTCAGTTTTAGTATAACACTCTGCATAATCTACAAGACTATATCCTAATTAATTAACACGTACAGACTTTTGAACTCAATCTTCAAAAGATTCAAAGCTTTCCTAGCAATTTTTTGTAACCAATTACAAACCCTTGATACATTTCCGTTAGTATTAACGATAAAAATGTCTTACGATTCATTTTTTTTCTTTCTCAATTTCATTTTATTAGAAAAAGAAAAGTAGTTAGCAGGCACAAAAGTCACAACACACTGACCACATAACTCTAAAGCAGGGGACATTAAACCCACACGGGAAGATAATCGAAGGATAAAGGCTCCCGCTCGGTGAATACTTGTCGCAATTAGGATCGAGGACAAGGACACGCTTGAAGAGAAAGATCTGGATAGAAAATGTTTTACGATTCATTAAGGATAGAAAATGTACGTCTTACGATTAAACTATGTAACCAATACCTCTATTTCTATAGGAGTTAATATAATTCTTTTCATCACAAAATCTCATCCCCTCCATTCTTTTATGATTTATTCTTTTTTTAAATTTGTATTCTTTTTTTCTTGTTAGCAGGCTCATAACTATATAGTATTTATGGAAGGACTTTTTTTTTTCTTCGTTAAAGATTTTACTTTATGGAAGATAAGAACATATGCGTTCGGGTATTATATCAACCCATGTTTTTGGCCATGGAGGAGTCTCAAGCTTTACTAATTACATGATTTTGACTTGTTGACTCGGTTCAAGATAATTTCCGGCGGTGTCCTTCACAGATTCGCTTCCTTGGATGCAGACAGCTGCAGCAAACAAGAGAGTGATCAGAAAAGAGACTACTGAAGGATTCTTCATTGTGATTGTTTTTTTTTTTTTGTGTGTGTTTGAGTGACTTGAGTTGTGGAGAAATAACACATACTGTATCGGTATTTATAGGAACCTCAAAATTTATCATTATAAATGCTTATTGGCTTTTTCCTCACGTCACAATCTGATCCTTGGTTAACTAACTTTCTACTACGATTTAGACTCTATGGTTATGATTCAAACTTCGATTTTCAGCACAAGGAACATGCACCATAGTCCATATATAATATGTTAACTAATATATGAAAGGAATATCAAATTGGGTAAAAGACAAGATTTCAAACAGAGAGATAGGGATCGAACCAACGTGCGAATGATTCTTAACAATCTCTGTATATATCTGTCTGTACTTTTCTTTCTTATTCATTTCAAGCAATTTAATTAAAACATGAACCATATATGGTTCCACCACGTTATCACAAGAAAATAAATGTATGACTAACGGCAATTCAAAATAAAGTAAATCTGAAAAAAATTAGTTATCCCTTTTTATAACCAGAAAGTGACAAGAATCAAGAAGTGGAAGAAAATAAGAGCGTAAAACTTGTTTTACAGAACAATCTGCATAAATTAATTTAACTTATACTTAATACAATATCAAGAGTCAAGACACATGTCCCCTATATATATAGTTAATACAGATATGCTTTACTTAGCAGCTGCAGCGATAGACTCTTGTTTAGGGTTTAATTTCTACGTAAACATAAACTATGACTGTAATTAATTAACAACAAAGCAACTCCGTTTGTAATCGAATTGGAGGACTAATTCAAAAGTAATAACCTTCCAATAAAAAAAAGGTCCCAGTCGTCCTATCATATTATCCATGGTTATCAAACTCATCACCGCAGCATCTTGTACGTAAAGAAACCATGGTAAAGTTCAATTTCTCTTTCTCTCTCAACAAAAAATTGATTTTGGGAGACGCTAATTAAGGACCAGAATGAGATATATCAGAATTAATATTGTAATAAACAGTAATGTATGAAATATACAGAAAAATAATTACGAGAGAGAGAGAGAGAGAGAGAGAGAGAGAGAGAGACGTACTTTGTAAATCAACCTTCTACGTTGTTTTTTTGTTTTTTTTTTATAAAAGGGATATATGCTTTATTGGCTGAATGTAAAAATAATGGCAGCGTTTTCTTGGATTATTATTACAAATTCACTATCTTTTCATAGGGAGAACATAAATATTAGTCAGTCAACTCATCATACATTCATACTTGTACGTTACTTGTGATAAATGTTATTTGATAGATATATTCATTCTGATGAAATTTATATCTTAGTTAATTTTCTTAATATTAACTCCGGTGAATCGGAGAAGATGAACACGAGCAAAGAAGAATCGGAGTCAAAGAGAATCTTTATTCAACAGTCAAAAAACAGAGTTTGTTACAAAACTTGTTAAAAATGAAACTGTAATCTTAAGCTTATATATACAACTTAATAATCGACATTAAACCAATACCAAGTTAACCAGAATTAACCGGATCAAACCATCTCCAATACACCCCCCTCAAGTCTTTATCTTCTAAGTGTCTGGTTTGGAAGATATAGACTTGACAGAGACATTTTCTTGATCAAACCATGGAATGGTCCTGGATGAAGAGGCTTGGTTAGAATATCTGCAAGTTGATTGCCAGTAGGAACATGTAATGTCTTCAGTTTTCCAGCTTTAATTTGATCCCTCACTGTATGACAATCGATCTCTATATGTTTGGTACGCTCATGGAACACTGGATTCATTGCCAAATGAAGAGCCGATTTGTTGTCGCAGAATAACTTTGCAGGACAAGTAACCGAGATATGTAAGTCCTTCAATAATTGCTGCAACCAAATAAGCTCACAAGTAGCCTGTGCAAGACTCCTGTACTCTGCTTCAGTACTGCTTCTACTAACCACATTCTGTTTCTTTGATTTCCAAGAAATCAGTGAATTACCAAGATAAACACAGAATCTTGTCACAGATCTTCTACTTCTTCCATACCACTTAAAAGAACCACTCCACATCCTATTACCACTACTATTTCATATGATAAGCTTACTCCTCTTTTCAATTCATACATATGTGCTTATAATCTAGGCTCTGATACCATATTAACTCCGGTGAATCGGAGAAGATGAACACGAGCAAAGAAGAATCGGAGTCAAAGAGAATCTTTATTCAACAGTCAAAAAACAGAGTTTGTTACAAAACTTATTAAAAATGAAACTGTAATCTTAAGCTTATATATACAACTTAATAATCGACATTAAACCAATACCAAGTTAACCAGAATTAACCGGATCAAACCATCTCCAATACTTAAAGTTGTCATATTCTTTTTATTGTTAGCACTTAGCAGGCTCATTGACAATCCCGTTTCATAGTCTTAATAAAACATATACTTAAATTATATTTATGGAAAATAGGAACATGCAAGCGGGTATTATCTCAACCCGTTATTTTTGGCCATGAACGAGTCTCAGGCATTAATTATATTACATGATTTTTACCAGTTGGCTATTAGAATGGGAACATCCTTAGACCTAACTTCTCAACCCGAGTAGTAGAAGTAGTCGCCGTAGTGACATCTTCCACCTTTTTGAATTTGATGAGTAAGGGCTTAGCCGCATCATTGGGGACAACCAATTGTGGTGCACCAAACCAAACCCCTGGCTTAGTTCCAACGGTTCCGGTTGAGGTGGTCAACTTGTAAGTGTTTGCTTCTGCTCCTTCTCCGGCAATCTCAATCTTAAACCAGCTATTTGGTTTCTGAGGGGTACCACCAATGAGAATGAGAGGCTCCTCGCTAGCCGATGAGGTTTCATTGACTTTCCAAAACTTGGAAAACTCATTGCAGGCCCAGATGTTGGAATTGAACTCGATGTTTACTGCTAAAGATGTCTGGACGAAGGTTTCCTCTCGAGCGTCTGGTAATGTGAAGTTAACCGGTAACCCCGGTTGGTACGGAAGGAGTGTTTGGGTGATACCAAGTGGACAATAGGGTGGAAGTATACTAGTGGTGGCTGGGACAAGACCACCGCCGTTGTTAGTCTTGGTCTTCACCGGCTGGATGAAGTATAGCTCACCGAGTTTAACTGGATTGCCGTCCTTGTCGTTCACCGGTTCGCCTCCGTGGATGCAGACAGCTGCAGCCAACAGGAGAGTGATGAGAAAAGAGATCACTGAAGGTTTCTTCATAGTGATTGTTTTGTGTGTGTTTTAGTGTTTGAGTGAGTTGAGTTGTGGAGAGCTAACACATTTTGGATCGGTATTTATAGAAATCCTCAGCAGTAGTTAAAACCGAGCATGACAGTAAAAAGAGAAAAACCTAACTCCCTTTTTTGTTAAGCAAAACCCTAAATTTATCAGCTATAAATGTTTATTGGCTTTTTCCTCACGTCACAATCTAGTCCTTGGTTAACTAACTTTCTACTACGGTGAGGGTTGAAACTAGGGGATTAGACTTTGAGGTAATCGATAAAAACGAGGAACATGCACAATGGGTCCATGTTAACTAACACAAAGCAGATAAAAACGACAATCAATAGATGGGAGGAACACAAGGTTTCACAAGCAGAGAGATAAGGGTGAGTCACGAGTGAACAACGTTCGAAATGACTCTCAACATCTCTGTTTCTGACCACAATTTGTTTTTCTATTAAGTTAAACAAAAACTTTGTTTTTCTAAATAATAACCAAATATAAAAGCAAATAATTTCGACCAAGTTTTACAAGAAAACAAATAAGTGACCACAATTCAAGATCACTGTAATAATAATTAACCGTAAGACGATCGACCAGAGTCAAGAAGAGGAAGAAATGGCCTGCTGAGTAAAACTTGTCTCAGTGAATTTGTTGAAGTTGGAAACTTTGATTAATCCTGCACCAGAAAGAAATAATCAGTGTGAAGAGAGACTTAAGGAAGCATATTGGGCCATTAAGTTGGTTGAGGCCCAATGCGTTAGTGTGTTTTATTGCTTATTACTAAGTAGAGTTGTTGAGTTGTACAATAATGGTTTAACTTTGCTTGCAAAATTAGTTTAGTATCTAGAGGTAAGGTCTAGTAGTGTAGTCGCTAAGCTTAAGGGATAAGTGTGTGTCCGTGCGTAGTTAGTAGAAGAAACTACTTTAAGTATGTGTGTGTGTGTGTGAAAGTGTAAAACGATCCAAGTATCCAAGTAATCAATCTTGAAAATCAGTTTTCTCTCCTCTCTTTCAAAATCGTTTATGACACGGGGACACCAATGTCATCAAAGATTCAAAATATTATACTTTTATATAAGACATAGACATAGGATTAGAAACTTTCTCTTACGTGCTCAAAAAGTTAGGGATTCAACTGCCACCAACGACGGTGACTTATTGTAGAAAATTTCGGGATAAATAATTGGGCGAATTTACAGTCCGTCCCCATTAACCGCTCGGGTGAGCTAAGAGCATCTCCAATGGTTACAACTCCATCATGGGTTCTCTGCATTTTATAAGAATAAATTTTAGCTTTTTCAAACTTAAAACTTGCATAGGAACTCTTAAGTTTTGTGACCTCCAATGGTTAAAACTACTAATGGGGTTCTCTAAGAAAAAATTCAAATTTTGTAAAACAATACATGGTTTTTTTTTTGGTAAAAACAATACATGGTTTTACAATACATATTCACAAAAAGAAACAACTCTTGGTTGCACATGTTTTCTTTTACTCGTTTATTAATCAAAGAGTACAAGAATGTGAATTAACTATGCTTTGGTTTGGACAAGACAGTGAAACAAGAATGACACTTGCACAAGACCTTTGGTTCTGCCTCCTTGATCTCATCTCCTGCTTCATCCTATTGACCAAAGAGTTATAATCATGTCAATTACAGAACTTAGGGAACAATGATCAAAAAAACTTAAGAAGTATGCAACACAAACACAGAACAGAAGCACAAACATTGATTAGAGACAATTATATTCTATTAATCTAGTCAGACAAGAAATGCAATGCAAGACAATCATGAAACCAAATTCTAGCTTCAAGAAAAATTTCAAGAACAAAGATCTTGCTACGACAACATTTAGATGAAGCAATTAATGAGTAGAAGCATCTAATAATCAGTTATAGCATTGATTATGAACAATCAATCATTTGGCGAAAACCATGCTTTACAAACCCCAAATCATCAAAAGCTCAGTGACCATAGAAAGAATGAAATTGAAACCAATCATGTTAATTTTCTGGAAAAAAAAAGACATCAAAATCAGTCATGTTAAATTGAAACCAAGCGAAACCAGTGATCAAAAACAAGACAAAGCCAACAAATAGACTTTATCAAATTTGAATCTAGATTTCACAAAACCAGTGATCAATACACATAAGAACACGAACTAAAACTCAATAACGCTGCAACAATCTTGCATTTAAGAGAAACAACAACAATCATCTCTAACAAATCAATCCAAGCACCCAAAAAAGAGACTATTACAGACGATTTACACTGCTAGATCTTCCAAAACGAACTCTGAATTCTACAGATTATGAAGTGACGACCCAAACGCGAAGATCAACAACATATCAACAAATAAACGCAGAAAACGAGAAGAAAAAAAATCGACGATCAAAAGAGCAAAAAAAAACATTGTCGAAGTATGAGCAAGAGAGATCGGATCCGTACCTTAAGAATAGGGGATTTTCGAATTAGGGCTTTTGACTTCGAAGCGAAATGAGGGGAAGTGAGAAATTTTGGGGAGACGGCGTCGACTCATCGAAAACCATTAATCCAGCGTCAATCGATCGCCTTCGCGGGAGAGAGACACTCGGGTTTTTTTTTTTTGCCGATGGAAAACACGGAATTTTTTTTTTTTTTTTGTTAAAAAAGATGGTCCAATTAGAGTATGCCACGTGTACGGTTCTCTCAATTGCTCAAACCTCTCTTCAGAGAGTCGACTCTCTGCTTTAATATCAGTTTTGATTTATTTTTTTGCCAATTAGACAAGAGAACTCATCAAATTTTTTGAGAGAATCTCCCTTTGGAGATGCTCTAAGGGCACAAATCGAAATTTTGGGCTACACTTAACCCTAAAATAAATTAAAAGCTAATTGTCCCCTACCCGACTCCATAAGCCTAACCCGGCCCGTAGCAGACGGAGTTATAGTCTAGCCCACAGGCCCAATTAAAATAAATATAATTAGATCAATAAACGACACCGTAGAGTAGAGAGGCGTTTAGTCAAACGAATGGTCGTTGACTGGGAAGCGTTGAAAAGGCAACATGTTCATTACTACGAGAACAAATGGATCCTATTGGTTAAAGCACGTCACGAGACGAAAACAAATGGTTCCAACACGCGCCGACTAGAAAAAGCGCGTGGTATTCAAAACCCACGTCGCGCTGAAATGTCAAAAATACCGCATTGAAACTAACGCATTACATAACATTCATTGCTTGCTTAAGACGATCTTCAGACACAAAACACAACAATGGGGTTTTGAGAATTTCCGGAAGACACAAAAAACGTGTTTTTCTTTCTCTTTTTTGTAAAAGGATTTATTTGTCTCATTTGATTTTTATTGTTTTTGGGTTTTCTATAATGGGAAGAGGCGGAATCAAAGAAGAAGAGAGCGAAAAAAAGAGAAAAACATGGCGATGGCCTTTAGCGACTTTGGTTGTTGTGTTTTTGGCAGTTGCTGTGAGCTCTAGGACGAATTCTAATGTCGGTTTCTTCTTCAGCGATCGAAATTCTTGTAGCTGTTTACTTCAGGTTTTTGGATTTTACTCTCTTAAATTCTCAATCTGTTGCTTTGATCATAGATGAAAGAATTTGACTTTAAGACTCTCAAGTACATTTTTGTCTTTTGTTTGTATTTCTGGATGAAGTTTGTTGGGTATTGGTGGATATTTGTCATGTGATGGATTCAGGATAATAAAAATTGATACTTTTGATCACAGTATTTATGTAGCCAATGGTAATAAAAATTGAATCTTTTGATCACATTGTTTAGCTAATGGATTCAGGGTGGTAAAAAATGACAACTTTTGATGGCTCTGTTGAGCCAAAGCTTTGAATCGTTGTCCCTGAAATGTGCCAGTGGTTCAGTGGACTTATCATATTTGATTTTTGTCTTTTTGATTTTCCATTTGGATATACAGGGAACAGGTAAATACAAAGGTATGGTTGAGGACTGTTGCTGTGATTATGAAACAGTGGACAATCTCAACAGTGAGGTTTTGAATCCTTTGCTTCAAGATCTCGTCACAACCCCATTTTTCCGGTACTATAAGGTCAGTGAGATGCTTTAGAATCCAATTATGTAGAAAAACTATGAAATTGTGTTCAGTCGTGTAGTAAGTTAGTGACTTTTGGCTGGATGTGTTTTTGTATATGGGGGTAGGTGAAACTGTGGTGTGACTGCCCATTCTGGCCAGACGATGGAATGTGTCGTTTGCGTGATTGCAGCGTCTGTGAATGTCCAGAGAATGAGTTTCCTGAACCATTTAAAAAGCCATTTGTCCCAGGTCTTCCTTCTGATGATCTCATGTGTCAAGAGGGAAAACCTCAGGGAGCTGTTGACCGTACTATAGATAACAGAGCATTCAGAGGTTGGGTCGAAACCAAGAATCCATGGACGCATGATGATGACACAGATAGCGGTATGTAGTTACCAAAAACTGCTCTAGGGAGTTCTTCTTTGGATATATGCTATAGTGAATGAGCATTTAATTATTTGAAGTGACACTTATCTACAGGTGAGATGACTTATGTCAATCTTCAGTTAAACCCCGAACGATATACTGGTTATACTGGACCGTCGGCTAGAAGGATTTGGGACTCCATATATTCGGAAAACTGTCCAAAATGTGAGTTTTTCCTTCTCTACCATATTGTGGACATAGGCTTGTATTATGTTGTATGTTGAAATGCAAATGGTTTCTGTAGATTCATCTGGGGAGACATGTCCGGAGAAAAAGGTATTGTACAAATTGATATCCGGTCTTCATTCTTCAATCTCGATGCACATAGCTTCTGATTATCTTCTTGATGAGTCAAGCAACCAGGTTTGTAAATCTGAGCAAAAGATAGACAAATCTCTCAGCATGAATGCATGAATAAATAATGGTCATGGCTGACATGTAATTTCTTTTGAAATACAGTGGGGACAGAATATCGAGCTGATGTATGATAGAATCCTGAGACATCCGGATCGTGTCAGAAATATGTACTTCACGTATCTCTTTGTGCTACGTGCTGTAACTAAAGTGAGTAACTTCTCTGCAAGTTAGTCTTTTGGGAAAATTTTGACATGTCTAATCAATCTATCAGTCTTTAGGACTGACTCTTACAATGTGTTATTTAGGCAACAGCATACTTGGAGCAGGCAGAGTATGACACAGGAAACCATGCTGAAGATCTGAAAACACAGTCCTTGATCAAACAGTTATTGTATAGTCCAAAACTTCAAACAGCATGTCCTGTTCCGTTTGATGAAGCTAAGTTGTGGCAAGGTCAAAGTGGACCAGAATTGAAACAGCAAATCCAGAAACAATTCAGAAATATAAGGTTCGTCTCGATTTTTCGTGAAAATGAATATGTTCTTCTGGCAAATGCTGAGAGAGTGGTAATAGTAATACAACTTAGTAATGTATGTGTTGCAGTGCACTAATGGATTGCGTAGGTTGTGAAAAATGCCGGCTTTGGGGGAAACTTCAGGTTCAGGGTCTTGGGACAGCATTGAAAATTCTCTTCTCTGTTGGAAATCAAGACATTGGTGACCAAACAGTGAGTTTCTCAAACATCTATATGCATCGTTTTGTATTGAGATGTCACTGACCTGAGATTATTCTTATGTTTTTCAGCTGCAACTGCAACGGAATGAGGTGATTGCGCTGGTGAATTTACTCAACCGTCTCTCTGAGTCGGTTAAAATGGTCCACGATATGGGACCTGACGTAGAGCGGCTAATGGAGGATCAGATAGCTAAAGTATCAGCTAAACCCGGAAGATTAAGAAGAATATGGGATTTAGCTGTCTCCTTCTGGTGAGTTACACAACGAACTGTCCAGCTATTAGGCATTCATGGTCAATCTATAAAAGCCTAGGATGGATAAGTCATTGTTGTAACGACTGAAGGAAAAAAAATCATTATAGAGAACTCATACAAAAGATTTTTTTGTAAAACAGATAAAGAAATATAGATTCTTGAGGTAACTAATCCATACTGATACAAAAGCGTGACCAAAGGTTAATTCAAACTCTTACATTCATTGATATATTCATGAAACAAAGCTTTTGGTTGTCTTGCACATTAAAACTTCAATACTCTTGTTTCTTCTCTCCAAATTGTTGGGCATTTGAAACCAGCCTTTCAATAGTAAAACTTGGGCATGGCATGAAATCAGAACCGGACTGAACCGAGGTTTGGTTAACTCTGTTTGTAGCCTTACTATTACTCGAAATGTACCGAAAAACTTAAAAAATCAAGGTTTTGTTCGGTTTTAAATTTTAATCGTTAAAATCTTCCAAACCGGAACAACCCAAAATTCCGACTTGAACCGATCCTAAGAAGATTCCAGCAGAGATGACAAAAACATATTTTTTTTTACTTCTTCTTAAGCACTGAAGCTAAAATTGATCGGGAAAAATATCATTTAATCCCCCAACTGTTGGGGTTCAAATTGAAAATTCTAAAAGAGTACTAAAATCACTAAACAAAGAGAGCTTTTCAGATATTCAGAGGAGAGTGAGTGTTACTAACAGTTTGTTAAAAGTTATGCAGGTTCAAGCTATAGATAATCCATCCTCAGACATTTTCCAAGCTGAAAGGGACCTCCATTCTAAATGGTTATTCCTCAGAGGAATTGAGGAGTCTTTTTTCAAACAGAAGTCCAGAATCAATTGGTTACACCTAGGGGACCAGAACACTACTTTCTTCTACAGAGTTGCCATGGCTAGAGCATCCTACAACTCCATCAGATCTTTATGCTTGGATAATGGTTCATCTACTTCTGACCCGGAGGAAATGAGTGATATTGCGGTCTCTCATTTCCAGCAGTTTCTTGCCCCTCAATATTTGATGCATATCAGTTCTCCTTTCTCCTGGTTTTTGGAGCTTCAAAGCTTTAACTGTTGTGAGCACCATAAATCAGTCTTATCCTCCTTTCCTACAACTGCTGAAATCACAAGGACTCTACTCAAGCTGAACCCCAACAAGTCTCCTGGGCCTGATGGGTTTACTTCTTCGTTCTTCAAAGCTGCTTGGCCAATAGTTGGTCATGAGGTGCTTTCAGCCATTCAAAGATTCTTCTCTTCAGGGTTCCTCCCAACTGCCACAAATGCAACAATTCTGACGTTAGTCCCTAAAAAACCAGAAGCTACTTCTATTTCTGATTATAGGCCAATTTCCTGCTGCAATACTACCTATAAATCAATTTCAAAGCTGCTTGTGAAAAGATTAAAGGTCATTCTCCCCGTCGTTATCCTCCCTAACCAAACAGCTTTTGTTCAAGGCAGACTACTTATTGAGAATACCCTATTGGCCTCAGAAATTGTACAAGGCTATCATAAGAATGGAGGACCAAAGAGAATAACTTTAAAGGTTGATATTGCTAAAGCTTTTGATACTATTAGGTGGGAATTCATATTCCAATGCCTACGGAGTCTCCATATTCCTGAAACTTTTTTAAGATGGCTAGAAGCTTGCATCTGTACAACATCTTTCTCTGTCTCGTTTAATGGCACTACTCATGGTTATTTCAAAAAAAAAAGAGGGCTCAGGCAAGGTGACCCTCTTTCTCCTTATCTTTTTGTCCTCTCCATGAATTGTTTGTCACTAGCTCTTAATAGAGCTGCTGTGGAAGGAAGATTCAACTACCACCCTAAATGCAAAAAGACAAGGCTTACGCACCTCTGTTTTGCCGATGATCTGCTAATCTTCTCCGATGGCTCCCTTAACTCCATAACAAATATCTTGGAAGTGTTGAAGGATTTTGAAAACAGATCTGGACTTGCTGTTAACATCGAAAAGACGTCTCTGTTCTCTGCAGGTTTAAAGCCCCATGAGTTAGAGCTAATCAAACAAGCAATGAATCTCTCAATTGGTTCACTCCCGATCAGATACCTTGGCGTTCCCCTCTGCACGAAGAAAATCTCCTTGCTGCAGTGTGTTTCTCTTATTCAGTCTATAAAATCCAAACTTCACTCTTGGACAGTCAGGTCTTTATCTTTTGCAGGAAGGTTGCAACTGCTTTCAACAGTCATTGCTGGGATTATTAACTTCTAGTCAAATGCTTTCATTCTCCCTAAAGGATGCATTTCGGAAATTAACTCCATCTCTGCTAAATTCCTTTGGAAGGGTAAAACTGAAGGGCTTACCTCTGCTAAAGTTTCTTGGGAGAATGTGTGTCGTAGCAAGGAAGAAGGGGGTCTTGGGTTGAAGGACATTTCCAGCTGGAATACTACTTCTGCACTAAAGCTGATTTGGTTGTTGTTCTTCAGGCCTGGTTCTGTTTGGGCTCACTGGTATACTACAGAGGTGTTAGATGGAAACATTAATAACTTCTGGGTTATTAATACAAAACAGAAATTCTCTTGGCTAGCTAACCAGTTGTTACAATTACGAGACTTAGCTTACCCATGGATCAAACAGTCTGTAGGTAAGGGGGAGAACTGCTACTTCTGGTCAAGCAACTGGTCTCCACTTGGAAAAATCAGAGATTACCTTTCACAAGAAGGCACTACCTGGTTCTGTTTGGGCTCACTGGTATACTACAGAGGTGTTAGATGGAAACATTAATAACTTCTGGGTTATTAATACAAAACAGAAATTCTCTTGGCTAGCTAACCAGTTGTTACAATTACGAGACTTAGCTTACCCATGGATCAAACAGTCTGTAGGTAAGGGGGAGAACTGCTACTTCTGGTCAAGCAACTGGTCTCCACTTGGAAAAATCAGAGATTACCTTTCACAAGAAGGCACTACAGAGATTACCTTTCACAAGAAGGCACTACTTCTGGTCAAGCAACTGGTCTTCCGATGTAGACGATTGTTAAGAGGCACTACCTATCCTCTCGAAACGCTTTCTCTGATCCGTCGTGCCTTCTCTGTAGTGCTAGTCCAGAATCTCGCTCTCATTTGTTCTTCGATTGTAGCTTCTCAGGTGCAATTTGGGATTTTCTCTCCAGCAAGTGCAACTACCTATCCTCTCGAAGTTGGGATACACTTCTCACCCAGCTAAGCTCATACTCTGTCTCAAAGCCAAGACGAAAACTTCTGCTAATTGCATGGCAAGCTTCGATTTATTGCATTTGGTCGGAGCGTAACAATCGTCTCCATCGGAACGCTTTCAAATCAATTGATACTTTGATTCGAGATGCAGATCTAATAATCCGGAACAGAATAGCTAGTATCTGCCTCACAAACCCTCGCCAAGCTTCTCAGATGCTTCAAATTTGGCTCTCCTAAAAATCTCAGATCATCTCTCATCATTCTCTGTTTCATCGCTTCGTCTCCTCTCTTACTCCTCGTGATTTCCGATTGATCAATTTGGGTACTTCATTTTCTTCATGGGCTAATTAACTTGGGCTTCTTTGATTCAATCTTGGTTCTATTTATTGTGTGTTTGGGCTGTTTAGCCAATTAGGCCTGATGGGCTATCAATTATAAAAAAAAAAAAAAAAAACTTTTAAATTATGGCCATTTTAAACATCAACTTCATATGTGAGCATTTAAAACATGAATTAAACGTTGACTAACGTTTGAGACATAGGAATTTGTTGACCAGACCAAAATAGACATGCCGTTATCAATCGTTAACTGCAATGAATGGCTTCTGTAGCGGTATATGTCGGCGTCCATAGACATGGTGTCATGGGAGAGAGTGGTGATCACGGTCTCGCTCTCTTCGTGGACTTTTACTAGATAAACTTGTCAGACCATCATCTCCTTTTCTTTTGGGATCTATCGAGATTCGGGTGATGTGAATCATGTTTCCATCCCCTGGAATGATCCACAAACACCTCCCAGGAAGTACTCGAACCTCAGAAAAAAAAAACTATTGAGGATGTAAGTTCACACGACGAGCCTTCATAACAAACTAATCAGAGAATCGCCTCACTATCTATATGCTAATCATCTACTACAAAATGAGGAGTTTATCCTTTTCTAGTTCTCACATGTTCTAGGAAAGAAAAGAAAAAGGAGTAAGAAAGACAAATCCAATTAGTTAGCCTTTGTACAGAATTTGTAAAACATATCCAAAATGATTTAAAACCTACAATTTTTGTCGGGCTTTAAAAAAACTGTCAAAGTACATCCTACATATAATATAAGAGATGATATTTAAGATTTATTAAAAAATGATCAAACTATTATGTATTATTCCACACTTGCTACATATTTTTTTTTTTGCTTTGAACGGAATGGTCTTTATAATAAGCTCAGATCGTGACGACAGATATAACTTAGCAACAGTTTTAAGACTTAAAAACTAACAATATGAATTCTTGTTAAAGAAAATTTCAAGCTTCTGCTATATTATATGAACTAAATTCCAAGGTAAAACATGGTGTCGAAATATAAATATCAAAAATTTGTTCATCATACAATTCACAAAATAAATAAGAGAAAAGAAAAGTGTCTTCACATGGACGGTGCATTCGCGGACGTGTCTTCACATGGACGGTGCATTCGCGGCGGTGGTCACATGTAGCTTCAATTTAGATTGGCTTACGTCTCCCGAGATTCGCTTGTCGTTGGTTGTGGCAAGCTCGTTTGGGATCCACACGCCATCGCGTCTCACTACGCACGCTCTCATCCTCCATGTCTCTCAGGTGACTTTCCAAAGCAACCTTCAAACTATTACAATATTATGAAAATAACCCTAAATGTCTTATTAGTATCAAGAAAGCCCTCATGAATCATTTGAAAGTGTTACATGTTGTTGAATGCTGATTTGAGATGCTGATCAGATGTGAACTTTGCAGGGTGACGATCCTGATTTGTTGCAGAGAGGATTTAACCCGCGGTGGTTTGTGGCTTGGAAAAAAAGAGGTATTAATCGTTTGTTGCTGGATGAGTAAGAATTGATAGAGACGTTTGATATTTATAGTAAAAAGGAATGATAAGGTTTTTGGCTCATAAATTTTTGAAAATCTTGAAGCCAAAGCCAAAACTATAGGATATATATATTAACTTGAATATCTTCTTGATTGTTAACATTATTAATGATTCACGAATTTAGGGGAAATTAGGATATTGAATAGTAGTTTATGGTTAGGATTAGATTAGATCATATTTTTTTTTGAAATTTGTTTAGCAATTAGTCGAGATTTAGAAAATATATTTCATAATTGCGATTGAATATGCCTTAAATTATATACCAAATATGTTGAATGGTTAGTTAGTATTGCATCTCTGTTTTGTGAAGATGTTAAAACCCGATTATTGATTTGTTTAAGGATTTGGGTACATTTGATTCACTCTAAACCCATTTTATAAACACGCGGATCCTAAAGTTTTAATGAAAATTTTAGACTAATTTACTTTTGTCGATTTTGATTAAGCCTTTGTTAATCCCAAAATTGAAATTGAAATTGATGACAATTTAGACTATTTTTCAATTTGTACTTCCCTTTTAATAATAAGAGGATACAATTATATGTTGGTTTGGGTTTACAAATGTGGATTAGGATTTAGATTGTACAATTAAACGAAATTAATTATATGTCGGTTTGGGTTTATAAAAGAGTGATTAGGGTTTAGATTTTACAATTAAACAAAATTCTATGTCGATTTGGGTTTATAGATGAGGTTTAGGGTTTGGATTTTACAATTAAATAAAATTATATGTCGGTTTGAGTTTATAAAAGAGTACTTAGAGTTTAGATTTTATAATTAAATAAAATTATACGGTTTGGTTTTATAAAATAGTGGAGTTTATTTTTATTTTTATTACTTCTTCTTAAGCACTGAAGTTAAAATTGCTGCTGGCTTTCCAAACTTATTGATCCTCCCAATCTCACTACTCGGAGAAAGATATGGTCGACGGAAAACGAAAATCCGACAGAAACCCAACAAATGTATCCGACAAACTTGGTCTTAAAGACCCATTACTGCGCCGTCTCTCTTCCGCCGCTGCCCTCACTCACTCCTTTCTCCAAGCCAACGATCTCTTCCTCTCACCATCACAATCTCTCCGCCTTGAATCCCTAATCTCATCTCTCCCAATCCCACCTTCCCCCTCTCCTTCCTCCGCCGTCACCACCGCCACGTGGTTCAACCGCTTCTTAACCTCCGCTACAGAAGACGACGATGATCCTCGCTGGTGTCTTTGTTTCCGGATGTCGAAATCCACCTTCTTCAATCTCTTCTCTATCCTCTCCCCTTCCTCGCTTCCTTCCTTCGCTGCCGCAATCTTCCGTCTCGCTCACGGTGCTTCTTACGAGTGTCTCGTTCACAGATTCGGGTTTGATTCCACTTCCCAAGCTTCACACTCTTTCTTCACTGTCTGCAAACTCATCAATGAGAAATTAAGTCAACAACTTGATGCTCCAAACCCCGATTTTTCGCCTAATCTGCTCCCGAATTGCTGCGGTGTTGTCGGATTCGGGAGGTTTGAGGTTAACGGAAAGCTTCTTGGTGCAAAAGGGTCAATTTTGGTTCAAGCATTGGTTGATTCCGATGGCAGATTTGTTGATATCTCAGCTGGTTGGCCAAGTACGATGAAACCAGAAGCTATTTTCAGACAGACGAAGCTTTTCTCAATTGCAGAGGAAGTTCTCAATGAAGCTCCGACCAAACTTGGGAATGGAGTATTGGTTCCTCGTTACATTTTGGGAGATTCTTGTCTTCCTTTATTGCCATGGCTTGTGACACCTTATGATTTGACTTCAAACGAGGAGGAAGAGGAGACTTTTAGAGAAGAATTTAACAATGTGGTTCACACTGGATTGCTTAGTGTTGAGATTGCCTTTGCTAAGGTTCGAGCTCGGTGGCGGATTCTTGATAAGAAATGGAAACCAGAGACAATCGAGTTTATGCCGTTTGTTCTAACTACGGGTTGCTTGTTGCATAATTTTCTTGTGGATTCTGGAGATGATGATGATTCACTGGAGGAATGTGTGAATGGTTGTGCTGCTGGTGATAATGGTGAGACGAGGAAAGATGATGGTGATGAGAAGACTCGGAGATTCGAAGGAGAAGCATATATAGAGTCGAGGAGGATCAGAGATGCTATCGCGGAGAACCTTAGCCGAGTGAGTTCACTAAGATGAAATTGAAAGCCTTGTTTGTTTTAGCCTCATGTTGTAAATTGTGGGATTCTGCTGTATTTTTTTTCTTTTGTGCACATCTGTTTTGATATGCAGTTTACGGCTTAGAAGGTGAACTAGATAATGTAATGTTGATGGTTACTGGTTTCTTGGACCCTAAAATCAATCATCGCTGTCTAAACAAAAGTAAGGATTTTGATTAATGTACATGACAAAAAAGAGGAAAGCAAAATCAATACCCAGAAAAAGGTTTAGCAGGGACATTCACTTCAATACCTGGTCAGATGAAGTTTGAATACCTGAAAAAAATTCAAATGAAGTTTGTTGTAGGAAATTGTTGATGATTCACAGGAGGAATGGGTGAATGGGGTTAATAAATGGTTCTTGGAACTTTTTTTAATGAAAACAAAAGAAACAGAAGGAGTGCACAAAAGCCAAAACCATCTATACAATAGGGTCAAACCAAATCCACAAACGCACTCGAAACCAGAGGATGATAAAATATCAATCGTCCTCCAAGAAATCATAATGAATATTGAGAAGTTAAGTCAGAGAAAACATCAGTTTTAATCGGTTCAGATCCATCGCTCTTGTTTCTGCGGTGTCTCCTTCAGACCTGCCTTACGAGCATTGGTTAGCAGAACTCTATGAGCTAACTTTCCTCTGTTTCCTATAGACAGTCTAACTCTCTCCATCCCGACATTAATGCCACCACCTCTTCTCATCGGTTGCTGCCTCGGGGAAGATTTCTTTTGCATTCTCTTTTGTATGCTTCGTCTCAGTATGCTGGTCAACGTCTTCCCATTACTTCTGTGTAGCTTGGGGCTGGTGCAGAGCACTTGGTTAGCGCCACTCTTTTCATCAGGCGAGTTTGTAATTGCTTGGCATGGTGGCATTAATGAAGATGAAGAATTTGATGGTGATGTGATTGGGATGAATGGCATTGGGGCAAGAGTCTTCCTTCTTGGAGCTGGTGGAATGCGTTTTGCGCAGATAGAAGATCTTCCAGTTCTCTTAGGTATTTGCACTTGCTCAGCCATTTCTGGATTGTTCACCTTCTCAATGAGGTCATTGTACTTGAGACCACCACCATTGGGTAAAGGAGGTAGATCATAGCTGGTGGTGCTCTCTACAAGTGGTGGTCGGGTTAGATTCACCATTTCTCTCGAAGTTGATGTGGTTGGGGCAAGAGAACTCCTTCTTGGAGCTGGAGCTGATGGAATACGTTTTGCACAGATAGAGAATCTTCCTGTTCTATTAGGTATTTGCACTTGATCAGCCATTTCTGGATTGTTCTCCTTCTCAGAGAGGTCATTATACTTGAGGCCACCACTAGGTAAAGGAGCTAGATTAATGCTGGGGGTGCTCTCCAAGAGTGGTGGGCGTGTTAGATTTACCATTTCTTTCGAACCTGATCCCAACAGTATGCTTGTCAGTGGCAGCCTCTTTGACGGGTTGTTTTCATCTCCGGCCTGCTGTTTTGTCTGCTGTTCAGCAATCTTGGTGTCTACATGTTGACGAGCCAGCTTCCTCTCTACCAATAGTTGCGATTCAAGTTCTTTAACCTAACAAAGAAAGTGATATGTGATGGTTTCAACAAGCTAAAATGTTATAATCCATGTTGTTCTTGTGGTTGTGGTGAGTATTTGTTTACCTTGTCTTGAAGGGTTTTGTTCTTAGTGTCTCGTTCCTTAATCTTTGCTTCTAAGCCGTACATCATTTCCTCCATTTTTCTAATTTGTTCGTCTTTTCCTTTCATATCTTGCTTCCATTTCTCAACCTGATATAGAATTAATACAGCTCAGAACAATACATGAATGATTCGATAAACACATGTGGACATTTAGCTTACCATTTGCTTGTATTTCAAGAGTTCAGTATTGTCTAGCTGCTTCTTTGCAGGCCCCAACTCTATCCCTCTCACTCTGCTAGCAAAATTCAGTGAGCATAGTGTTTCGCTTTGATCATTCTCGTTAGGACTGATTTGTACAAACATGAGGGTCTTTGAATCTCCTCCTGTCATATACCAGTCATTTTTAATCTTAAGCTCCATAACAGATAAACAGAATTTACAAGTGAACGTGGTTGCAGCTTCGAGAAGAAAATTAAGTACCCAGAGAATCCTGAAGCAAGTGCGTCAGTTTTGAATTTCTGCAAAGGTATTTGATCTTATCAGTAATGCAAGCCAAACATCAAGTTAGATGAAAAATGGTGACTGTAACCTTCTTTAAATGAAAATAGATGTATCATATCGACCTGAAAGGAATGTGAGAGCTTTTGTTGGCAAGAGCGAATATGACATCACCAAGAGCAGATAATGATTTGTTGATGTTTTGAGTCTCCTTGAGCCGTTCTCCTTGAACTTCTGTCTTTGCAACCCGTTCGCTTCCAGCTAAGTCAACTAACCATAGTTTGCTCTTTGTGCATTCTCCATTCAACAAATTCTCACCTTTGACCATCACGCAGTGAATGCTGTGCAAAGAAAAGAAGAGAAAATACATTCAGTTAGCTGTTCATTTTCTGCAAAAGGAGACTACTACAGATCGTTAAGCAGACCAGTGAGATCTGCTGCTGTGCTCATTAGCCGTCGTTTTCCCAACAGCCCTTGCATTACTTCCTGTTTTCAACACATCCCAAACCTCTTCTATGCTTTTCACAGGTGCTTCAACCAATCCTGGTACGTGGTGGTTTCCTTCACTCACTTGCCTTATCTCAAATCTGCAAAGAAACGAGTATGAGCTACTGTTAGTGATATCAGAAACCAATTTTCCTATAACAAGTAGTTACTTATTACAGTCCTTACTGAAACACCAAGCTATAAACAATGAGACTAAAGAACAATGGACCTTGCATGCTTAACTCCATGAAAGAGCACATCAAGGAGAAAGGTATACAAAACTTATGTAGTACCTTTTGGGTGCAGATGCACTTTGTGAAGCTGGAACCAACAAATCTCTTATCTGTTCGTTGTAAACTTCCAGGACACTGACCGAGATCTCATAATTGTAGCGGTGTTCTCGTTCTTTAATTATTCGAAACAGATTTTCCAGTGTTCTATAGTTTACACCACGGTCATGTTGAGTTCCCTCCATGGTAAAAGTTTTCCCAGTACCAGTCTGGCCATAGGCGAAGATGCAAACGTTGTATCCATCAATGACTGACATAGCAAAGGGAGCAGTATCTTCAAAAACATCAGCTGTAAAAGTATAGGAAACAACTTGAGATTTCCTAGAAGGCAAGTAGGACAGGGACAAAGGGTGATCATTGATGCCATCAATCACCTTGGGAAGCATTAGGACCAAAAACAGAATCAAACTTGAAACTTTTTTTGGGAAAACCATTTGACATGACTATGACCTCCCCATTTTTGGTTGACTCAACATCAATTCCCATTGATACTCCTGCTTCAATTTCTTCAAAGTTTAGAGGTCGACACCTGCAAAAGACCCTGATGTTACCTGTACGAAAAAATGATCACTGTAAGTTGTTAGGCTGCTAATTTTAGTCAAGGATGTCAATCTACAAGTTATATTGGATATAGACACAAACCTTTTAGTTCTAGTATCTTGTTATATAGTTCTTTCCTCTCTTTTTCTCCTGCAACAAATTTGACTTTGAGATTTTCATGCAATTCTGCGTCCTGCTTCACTGTTGAAAACAAATTTTAACGGATCAAAATCACAGACACACAATATTACTAAATCTTTAAAAGTGCTAGTTGCATATCCAAATGACAGGAAGACAAAGACTCACCCCTAGACTGGATGTGAGAACTGAACTCATTGATATCTTGGACTAGGTGTTTGTATGTTGTTGCCTCCTCCAACAGCTTAATTTGCTCCATTTTCATGATCTACAAATCCAAATTCGTTAAACTGAGGCATAAGAGTTTGCAGTTGCTGGTCGTATTTTAAGTTTGCTTCTGTATACCTTCAATTTTCTTGTCAAATCTCTTAATGAAGAGAACCATCTGCTCTTCTCTTTGACTTGTCCCTCGACAGCAAACGCTAGTTAAGAACAAGTACATATATGTCAACTTTAACGATTGCAGGAAGACGAAATATAGAGGAGAGAGATGTACATACCCAAAGAACCAACATGCATCGACTTGCGCATTAGTTCATTTTGAATCTCACGGAGAGAAGTCAATGCTTCTTCGCATTCTCTAGTCTTTCGTTGGTTCTCCTGTTTAAGTTCCTCAACCATTTTCTTCATATCCTCCATCTCTTTCCTCTGCTGCCCACAGTCACTTCTCGTCCCTTCGGTCTCTTCTTCTGTCCTGCAGTCAACATTTTCCTAAAAACAGTATGACAGTTTAACTATTTACAACTTTTGTAACCACCCCAAATTCAACTAGAAACATCAAGCTTGTGGAAGATCCCTCACTTGAGTTTGCTGGGACAAGACAGAGTCAGTTGAACCTTTAACCGCTAGCATTCCAGTTTCTTCAACATCTAAAAGAAAAAATCAGTGATCAGAGTTGTGAAAAAGTTTAGTAGAATTGTCCAGGACACAAAAAGGTTAGAAAGCAACATACAAGTAGCCGTTGCCTCTTTCCTAATAGAAATGCCACATAGAATTGCGGTTCCTGTCACGCCTTCTAATCGTATAGATAACTCTCCTTCCCGGCCTACGAGCATCCTTAGATCCTCTATCACAAGAGGTGTATTTGCTCCTACTTGCGAAAACAAATCTAGGCCGGATATGACCTGCTGCAAATGGTTTTTCAATCAAACCATAAATAATATGTGATGAATAAGAAGACAATAAAAGCTTAATTGCAGTGATGCCTTGCCTTTGCTCCTTGAATGAATATATCAAAAACTCTAACTCCTGGTGGACCCTTAGTGAACTCAATTTCAGCAAAATGCAAATCGATGAAGTAGTCCCCAGGATCCAATGACTGAAACTTGTAAGCGAAATTACCAAGTCGAGCGGTTTGATACAACAAAAGCTCATCTTCATTGCCAACAACAGCATCAGTTGTAATACTTTCACCTCCACTGAAAAACGCATCCTTCAAGAAAGTTACATCATCCACAGTCACATCCGTGCTTGTAGAACCCGAGTTAATACTTATAACAGGAGTCGTACTCTCCCGAAAGTTCACAGGTGGAGAAGGTAACTCAAAAGAAGACTCAGGAGACAACTCATAGCCAAATGTTTGACAGATTGCTGAGAACTTC